CGTGTGAACCAGGCGTGGGAGGTGTGTGTGTGAACCAGGCGTGGGAGGCGTGTGTGAACCAGGCGTGGAGGTCTGTGTGTGTGGCGTGGATGCGTGTGAGCCGGATGTTGTATATGGCGTCTGAATAAGGGGGCGTATGTAGGCCAGGAGGTAAGGAGGGAGAAGGAGAGGGGGAAACGTATGGAGGCCAGGGGAGGGTAAGGGGCGAAGGCGGAGGGGGAACGTATGGAGGGCCAGGGAGGTAAGGGAGGGAGAAGGAGAGGGGAGACGTATGTAAGGCCAGGGAGGGTAAGGGGAGAGTATGTATGTATGTGTTCTTGACTGTGGCGCCTGGATGGTGATGCAAGACCCGTGTCCTTCCTGTCTGGTGAAGGAGGGAAGGAAGGTGACCTACAAACAGAAGGAAGGAGAGTGACTGACCTACAAACAGAAGGAGGGAGAGTGACTGACCGACAAACAGAAGGAGGGAGAGTGACTGACCGACAAACAGAAGGAGGGAAAGAAGGAGAGAGAGAGAAAGATTGATATGGAAGGCACACACACACACACACACACACACACAGTATCGCCTGGAGCTATGGCCGGGGAAGCATGACACGCAGAATATATAATGAGTTTTGACGTTATATTGGGGGACCTGTGGTTTATATTGGTTCCTGCTGGTTTATATTGGTTCATGTTGGTTCTGGGGTTTATATTGGTTCCTGCTGGTTTATATTGGTTCATGTTGGTTCTGGGGTTTATATTGGTTGTTATTGGTTTACATTAGGTGACGCTGGTTCCAGGGTTTATATTGGTTCCTGCTGGTTTATATTGGTTCATGTTGGTTCTGGGGTTTATATTGGTTGTTACTGGTTTACATTAGGTGACGCTGGTTCCAGGGTTTATAGTGGTTCCTGCTGGTTTATATTGGTTCATGTTGGTTCTGGGGTTTATATTGGTTGTTACTGGTTTACATTAGGTGACGCTGGTTCCAAGGTTTATAGTGGTTCCTGCTGGTTTATATTGGTTCATGTTGGTTCTGGGGTTTACATTGCTGTTACTGGTTTACATTAGGGTGACGCTGGTTCCAAGGTTTATATTGGTTCCTGCTGGTTTATATTGGTTCATGTTGGTTCTGGGGTTTACATTGGTTGTTACTGGTTTACATTAGGTGACGCTGGTTCCAGGGTTTATGCGGTTCCTGCTGGTTTATATTGGTTCATGTTATTCTGGGGTTTACATTGGTTGTTATTGGTTTACATTAGGTGACGCTGGTTCCAAGGTTGTATTGGTTCCTGCTGGTTTATATTGGTTCATGTTGGTCTCTGGGGGCTTATATTGGTTGGTTATTGGTTTACATTAGGGTGACGCTGGTTCCAAGGTTTATAGTGGTTCCTGCTGGTTTATATTGGTTCATGTTGGTTCTGGGGTTTACATTGGTTGCTTACTGGTTTACATTAGGCAGACGCTGGTCCAAGGTTTATATTGGTTCCTGCTGGTTTATATTGGTTCATGTTGGTTCTGGGGTTTATATTGGTTGTTATTGGTTTACATTAGGTGACGCTGGTTCCAGGGTTTATATTGGTTCCTGCTGGTTTATATTGGTTCATGTTGGTTCTGGGGTTTATATTGGTTGTTACTGGTTTACATTAGGTGACGCTGGTTCCAGGGTTTATAGTGGTTCCTGCTGGTTTATATTGGTTCATGTTGGTTCTGGGGTTTATATTGGTTGTTACTGGTTTACATTAGGTGACGCTGGTTCCAAGGTTTATAGTGGTTCCTGCTGGTTTATATTGGTTCATGTTGGTTCTGGGGTTTATATTGGTTGTTACTGGTTTACATTAGGTGACGCTGGTTTATAGTGGTTTCTGCTGGTTTATATTGGTTCATGTTGGTTCTGGGGTTTATAGTGGTTGTTACTGGTTTACATTAGGTGACGCTGGTTCCAAGGTTTATAGTGGTTCCTGCTGGTTTATATTGGTTCATGTTGGTTCTGGGGTTTACATTAGGTGACGCTGGTTCCAAGGTTCTTATGCCGATAATTAACGAAGCGAAGATTATGATTTTAATGCCGATAACTAACAAAGGTATTTACTCACTTGTTGTTGTCCCGATATCGTAACATTAGCCGATATCAGGGCTGTTATCGGGTGACAGTTGACGGAGCTAATGAATGGTTAGGTTAGGTTGTGAATTTATGTGATTTGTTGATTATATTGGTGTGTGTGTGTGTGTGTGTGTGTGTGTGTGTGTGTGTGTGTGTGTGTGTGTGTGTAAAAGAAGTTTCATAATGGTGTTTGTTGGCATATATAGAATCACAATAATAAATATTTTTATCCTCTCTCAGTAATATGTTTATATAATCGGTTTTTAATTACCTTATTTTGTTCTTTACAGGTGAGTAGCTGCTGTTGTTGTTGTTGACGAGTGGTAGCGTAAGTACCTCCTTGTTCGTCGTTAAGTATGGTAGGGGTGTTAAGGCTGGTGATTAGACTCGACAGAGAGATCGAGACGGGGTGAACGAGAGAGAGAGAGAAATAGAGATAGGAAGAGAGTGAGATAGGGGGATACAGAGATAGTGAGATAGGAGGGGTAGGAATAGAGATAGGAATGCAGAGATAGGGAGATAGTGTGTACAATTATTACCCTTATTGTTATGTATAATGATGTAAAAACGTGCCAATAAAAAACGGAGGAGAAAGAAAACAGGAAGAGGGAAGAAAAAAGAAAGTGATCACAGGAGAAGAAGAGATAAACGAAGAGTAAAAGAACGGAGGGAGGTGGAGGAGAAAGGAAGAAAGAATGGTTGAAGAAAAGTGAGAATGGAAAAGATTGATAAAGGAAAACGAAAGAATGATAAGAGAATAGGTACACGAAACCTTAAACCAGTGTTGGTGTGTGTGGGAGGGGAGAGGCGGGAATGACGTCACGGTGGTGGTGACCTAACTGTGACGGCAGAGCGGTTGAAAGACGTCACGGGGGCGGGGCAGGACGGTGGTGGCAGTGCGGTGAGAAGCTGCCGGCGACTACTGGCTGGCGACCGGCTGTTGTGTCTGATGAAACACACACACACACACACACACACTCACTCACTTAATTTGCATGTGTTTGTGAAAAGAGCCGGATATTTGAAATTTTCTCTCAAATATTTTTTCTTTCCATTCTTTTTTTTATTTTCTTTTTAATTTCTTTCATTCTTCTGTCTTTTGTTGTTCCGTCTCCCTCTTCCTCATCACCGTCATCCAACATTAGTGTCTCAACCTGGTGAGTGTTGCAGTGTTTCACTAATTCTCAGATCGAGAGAGAGAGAGCAGTCGTCGTTATAGTTATCGTTAAGTTTTGCAGTCATCGTTCTGTCATAGTCATCGTTGAGTCATACAGTCATTGTTGAGTCATAGTCATCGTTGAGTCATAGTCATCGTTGAGTCATAATCGTTGAGTCATACTAGTCATCATTGAGTGTCATACAGTCATCGTTGAGTCATAGTCATCGTTGAGTCATTGTCATCGTTGAGTCATACAGTCATCGTTGAGTCATAGTCATCGTTAGTCATACAGTCATCGGAGTCATGTCATCGTTGAGTCATAGTCATCGTTAAGTTATGTCATCGTTAAGTCAGTCATCGTTGAGTCATAGTCATCGTTGAGTCATAGTCATCGTTGAGTCTATAGTCGTCATTGAGTCACGGTCATCGTTGAGTCATACAGTCATCGTTGAGTCATAGTCATCGTTGAGTCATACAGTCATCGTTGAGTCATAGTCATCGTTGAGTCATACAGTCATCGTTGAGTCATAGTCATTGTTGAGTCATACAGTCATCGTTGAGTCATACAGTCATCGCTGAGCATACGGTCATCGTTAGTCATAGTCATCGTTGAGTCATGCAGTCATCGTTGAGTCATGCAGTCATCGTTGAGTCGTACAGTCATCGTTGAGTCATACAGTCATCGTTGAGTCATAGTCATTGTTGAGTGCTGTCATCGTTGATCATAGTCATCGTTGATCATAGTCATCGTTAAGTCATACAGTCTCGTTAAGTCAGTCATCGTTGAGTCATAATCATTGTTGAGTCATACAGTCATCGTTGAGTCATAGTCATCGTTGAGTCATGCAGTCATCGTTGAGTCATAGTCATCATTGAGTCATGCAGTCATTGTTGAGTCATAGTCATCATTGAGTCATGCAGTCATCGTTGAGTCATGCAGTCATCGTTGAGTCGTACAGTCATCGTTGAGTCATCGTCGAGTCATACAGTCTTCGTTGAGTCATACAGTCATCGTTGAGTCATACAGTCATCGTCGAGTCATACAGTCTTCGTTGAGTCATACAGTCATCTTTGAGTCATAGTCATCGTTGAGTCATTCACCAGCCGTTTATACAGTCCGCGCCGACTCAATTCCCAGATCCATTTGAACTTGTATGAAAGTTGAGTTACCAGGAGAGTTGGAACAGTGATCTGGGGAGTGGGGTGTGATGTGTGGTGGCGTGTAAAGTTTAATGGTATGTGGTGTGTAGTAGTTCTGGTGTATTATGGTGCTAAAAGGTATAGTGGTGGACTGTGGTGGTGTGTGGTGGTGGGGTTTGGCAGTGTGTCATGGTGGAGCGTGGTGGAGTTATGGAGGTGTGGTGGTGGAGTATGTAGTGTGTCATGGTGAGTATGGTGGTGGAGTATGCGGAGTATGGTAGTGTGTGGTAGTATTGCCTCAGGTAAATTGAAGTCTCATTACCACAGCGTGATACAATTTGTTGTCTGCTTGTGTTCCTTGAGAGACCAGGTGAAATGAGAGAGAGAGAGAGAGAGAGAGAGAGAGAGAGAGAAGAGAGGAGAGAGAGAAGGAAGAAGAGAGAGAGAGAGAGAGAGGCTGTGGTGGATAATATAGGCTGGTGATTGGCTGTGAGGCATGTAGAGGCTGGGACGGGCTGTGGTAGAGAGTATAGGCTGGTGATGTGGTGACAGTGAGGCTGTTGACGTGGTGACAGTGGTGACGGGCTGTGGTGGATAGTAGAGGTTGGTGACGTAGGCAAGTAGCGAGGCTGGTGACGCAGACAGTAGAGGCTGATGACGGGCTGTGGTGACAGGAGAGCCGTGACGGCAGGAGGCTGCTGACGAGCTGTGGTGGACAGTAGAGGCTGTTGACGAGCTGTGGCGGATAGTAGAGGCTGGTGACGGCTGTGGTGGATGGCGTGAGGCTGGTGACGGGGCAGGTAGGCAGCCAGGATGGCCGTGTGGATAGTAGAGGCTGGTGATAGGCTGTGGTGGATAGTAGAGTAGATGCACGGGCTGTGGTGGATGGAGTAGCTGGCTTTTGGCGTAGTGATGGTAGAGGCTGGTGACGGGCTGTGGTGGATAGTAGAGCTGAAATGGCTGTGACAGGTGAGGGTATTTGCAACGGGCTGTGAGAGCAGAGGCTGGTGACGGGCTGTGGTGGATAGTAGAGCCTGGTGACGGACTGTGGTGGATGGTAGGGCTGGTGACGGGCTGTGGTGGATAGTAGAGGCTGGTGACGGGCTGTGGTGGATAGTAGAGGCTGGTGACGGGCTGTGGTAGACAGTAGAGGCTGGTGACGGGCTGATGGTAGAGGGCTGGTACGGGCTGGATGCAGTGAGAGGCTGGTGACGGGCTGTTGGATAGTAGAGGCTGGTGACGGGCTGTGGTGGATGGTAGAGGCTGGTGACGGGCTGTGGTAGACAGTAGAGGCTGGTGACGGGCTGTGGTGGATGGTAGAGGCTGGTGACGGGCTGCGGTGGATAGTAGAGGCTGATGACGGGCTGTGGTAGACAGTAGAGGCTGTTGACGGGCTGTGGTGGATGGTGGCTGGTGACGGGCTGTGGTAGACAGTGGGGCTGTTGACGGGCTGTGGTAGACAGTAGAGGCTGTTGACGGGCTGTGGTGGATGTAGGGGCTGGTGACGGGCTGTGGTGGATAGTAGAGGCTGGTGACGGGCTGTGGTGGATGGTAGAGGCTGGTGACGGGCGTGGTGGACAGTAGAGGCTGGTGACGGGTTGTGGTGGATAGTAGAGGCTGGTGACGGGCTGTGGTGGACAGTAGAGGCTGGTGACGGGCTGTGGTAGATAGTAGAGGCTGGTGACGGGCTGTGGTGGATAGTAGGGCTTTGACAGGCTGTGGTGGATAGTAGGGCTGGTGACGGGCTGTGGTGGATAGTAGAGGCTGGTGACGGGCTGTGGTGGATGGTAGAGGCTGGTGACGGGCTGTGAGGTAGATAGTAGAGGCTGGTGACGGGCTGTGGTGGATGGGGGCTTGTGACGGGCTGTGGTGGATAGTAGAGGCTGGTGACGGGCTGTGGTGGATAGTAGGGGCTTGACAGGCTGTGGTGGATAGTAGAGGCTGGTGACGGGCTGTGGTGGATGGGGCTGGTGACGGGCTGTGGTAGATAGTAGAGGCTGGTGACGGGCTGTGGTGGATAGTAGAGGCTGGTGACAGGCTGTGGTGGACAGTAGAGGCTGGTGACAGGCTGTGGTGGACAGTAGGGGCTGGTGACGGGCTGAGGTGGATAGTAGGTCTGGTGACGGGCTGTGGTGGATAGTAGAGGCTGGTGACGGGCTGTGGTGGATAGTAGAGGCTTGTGACGGGCTGTGGTGGATAGTCGAGGCTGGTGACGGGCTGTGGTGAGTGGTGGTCAGGTGTTGGTGATGAGTAATGGTAGTGGTGGTAGAGGTGATGGTGGTAGAGGTGATGGTGGTAGAGGTGATGGTGGTAGGGTGGTGGTGGTAGGTGATGGTGGTAGTTTGCCACTTGTAAATCACCATAGTACCTCATTCTCTCACCCCCTCCCTCACCTATCCCTCCCCTTCCTCACCTATCCGCCCCTCCCACCTCCCCTGCCTCATCTCTCCTCTCTCAATCCCTCCTCCTCTGTCCACCTATCCCTCCTCCTCCTCTCACCTATCCCTCCCCACCTATTCCCTCTCTCACCTATCCCCTCTCTCACCATCCCCTCTCTCTCACCTATCCCCTCCCCTCACCTATCCCCACCTCTCCCGACGGCACTATTAACATCGTAAAATTGAGACCCTCACTCCCCCACTGAGCCCTTCCCTCTCCCCCTACAGGACAATTAAATCCAATTTGTTAAGCTAATTGGGTTAGGTGCATCTCTTGCTGCTGCTGTTGTGGTTATTAGTGTGGCTGTATTTACGTAATGTGGTTGTGTTTAGTAGTTGTTCTTGTTGGTGTTATCTTCTCTCACCCTCCCTCCCCCCCCCTCTTACTTCCGTAATCCCCAGTTTCATTGCACTAAACCCCTCCTCTTTTCCCTCTCCCTTCCCTTGATCCCCCTTCCATAGCAGCTATCACTTCCCTCTTCTCTGCCCTCTACTTCTCCAATCCTCTGCCCCTATTTCCCCCTTTCCACTCATCTTCTCTCTCTGTTTACTCCGTCTCTTCCACTCTTATCTTGCTTCTACTCCTCTCGGCCCTGCTCCCCCTCACCCACTTTCCCGACTGCCACTCCTCCTGCCACCTCCGCCACTACTCCCCAGCTACTTACAAGACAGTGGGCTCCTCCTCGACCCGTATCGTAAATAGCAATTTCGTCTCGACTTGACATCATCAACAGTAGATTTTCCACCAAGAATATTTCCGTGTTTCTGCATTTTTTTATAACAATGGAATGTTTCGGTAATTTGGTATTTTTTTACATTGAGAAAATTGGCATTTTTGACAGTGGGAATTACCTTGTTGTTGTTGTTTTTGTTGGGATAATTGGCAAGTTCCGGCGCTTGTTTGTGTGTGCCAAACATAACACTGTTGAGAGATGTGTTGTGGGTCCTAGTGGGCTGTGAGCCAAGACGCCCACAGTCAGGTCACCCTCACTTGTAGGTCACGCCCGGGGTGGGGGTGACGTCGCTCGCTGTTGTTGGTACCATTATAAGGCCTGAAGGCAGTGGTACACCTTGCACGTCTTCCTTCATTATGTTCTTTCCTTTATTCTCCCTCGCCACATCAGATAGGAGGTATGGAAATAGTGTGTCTGTCTCTCCGTCTGTCTGGCCATCTTGTGTAACTTTAACAATTAGTAATGGATATCTAGGAAATGTATTGTGTTGATGTAAGTAATCTCCAACCAAGAATAGGTCGATAATGAATAGTTCCCTCCATAGTTTGAGAAGTTATGAAAGGTTAGGTTTTGGGGGGGAGGCGCAGCTGGTGGAACCCCTAGTCAGTGGTCGCCCGTGTGGATCGAGCCGACAGCTCCTGGGTGAGGGGCCGAGTGTTGAGTCCTGAGGGCCGTCACACCACGGAGCCTTCTTAATGCAGTCTCCAGTATTGAGCCTTTTTTCATGCCCTCCATTTTGTCTCCTTCACAGGTCTCCAGGAGTGTGACACTTTCTTATCGAGTCTCCAGGAGTGTGACACTTTCTTCTTGAGCCTCAAGGAGTGTGACACTTTCTTGAGCCTCCAGGGTATTGCACTTTCTTCTTGAGTCTCCAGGAGTGTGACACTTTCTTTTGAGTCTCCAGGAGTGTGACACTTTCTTATCGAGTCTCCAGGAGTGTGACACTTTCTTATTGAGTCTCCAGGAGTGTGACACTTTCTTCTTGAGTCTCAGGAGTGTGACTTTCTTGAGTCTCCAGGAGTGTGACACTCTTCTTGAGTCTCCAGGAGTGTGACACTTTTCTTGTTAGTCTCCAGGAGTGTGACACTTTCTTATTGAGGTCTCCAGGAGTGTGACACTTTCTTCTTGAGTCTCCAGGAGTGTGACACTTTCTTCTTGAGTCCAGGAGTGTGACACTTTCTTCTTGAGTCTCAGGAGTGTGACACTATTGAGCCTCCAGGAGTGTGACACTTTCTTATTGAGTCTCCAGGAGTGTGGCACTTTCTTTTGAGTCTCCAGGAGTGTGGCACTTTCTTATTGAGTCTCCAGGAGTGTGGCACTTTCGTTATAGCTCCTTAAGTCCAGGGAAGTAATTATCTCCCAGCCGGCGGAGAAGTTGTAAACTTTCTCCTTCTCCTCCTCGGGCGGTGCCTCTTGGGCGGGTGCTTGAGGTGTAGTAATGGATTAGTGGGGTCCAGGTGATACCTTAATCACGCGGGCACAGAGAAACAGACAGACATGCAGGCAGAGAGAGGTAGACATATATATATATATATATATATATATATATATATATATATATATATATATATATATATATATATATATATATATATATATATATACAGGCAAACACAGACATATAGAGGAAGAAAAGCCAGAGAAATATACACTGACAGGCAGACACTGACAGACAGAAGCCAGGGACACGAGCAGACACAAACAAGACACAATCAGCTACACATCTGATTTCCTGTGTTAGAGGAAATAATGAGGGAACTTCCGTAATGACCAGGATGTGGTGTTGGCAGGCTCAGTGGTGGTGTTGGCAGGCTCCAGTGGTGGTGGCAGGCTCCAGTGGTGGTGTTGGCAGGTTCAGTGGTGGTGTTGGCAGGCTCCAGTGGTGGTGTTGGCAGGCTCAGTGGTGGTGTTGGCAGGCTCAGTGGTGGTGTTGGCAGGCTCAGTGGTGGTGTTGGCAGGCTCAGTGGTGGTGTTGCGGAAGCTAGTGGTGGTGTTGGCAGGCTTCCAGTGGTGTGTTGGCAGGCTCCAGTAGTGGTGTTGGCAGGCTCAGTGGTGGTGTTGGCAGGCTCCAGTGGTGGTGTTGGCAGGCTCCAGTGGTGGTGTTGGGCTCAGTGGTGGTGTTGGCAGGCTCAGTGAGGTGGTGTTGGCAGGCTCAGTGAGTGGTGTTGGCAGGCTCCAGTGGTGGTGTTGGCAGGCTCCAGTGGTGGTGTTGGCAGGCTTCAGTGGTGGTGTTGGCAGGCTTCAGTGGTGGTGTTGGCAGGCTCAGTGGTGGTGTTGGCAGGCTCAGTGGGGGTGTTGGCAGGCTCAGTGGTGGTGTTGGAGGAGGCTCAGTGGTGGTGTTGGCAGGCTCCAGTGGTGGTGTTGGCAGGCTTCAGTGGTGGTGTTGGCAGGCTCAGTGGGGGTGTTGGCAGGCTCAGTGGGGGTGTTGGCAGGCTCCAGTGGTGGTGTTGGCAGGCTCAGTGGTGGTGTGGCAGGCTCCAGTGGTGGTGTTGGCAGGCTCCAGTGGTGGTGGCAGGCTCAGTGGTGGTGTTGGCAGGCTTCAGTGGTGGTGTTGGCAGGCTCCAGTGGTGGTGTTGGCAGGCTCCAGTGGTGGTGGCAGGCTCAGTGGGTGGTGTTGGCAGGCTCAGTGGTGGTGTTGGCAGGCTCAGTGGTGGTGTTGGCAGGCTCCAGTGGTGGTGTTGGCAGGCTTCCAGTGGTGGTGTTGGCAGGCTCCAGTGGTGGTGTTGGCAGGCTCAGTGGTGGTGTTGGCAGGCTCAGTGGTGGTGTTGGCAGGCTCCAGTGGTGGTGTTGGCAGGCTTCAGTGGTGGTGTTGGCAGGCTCAGTGGGGGTGTTGCAGAGCTCCAGTGGTGGTGTTGGCAGGCTCAGTGGTGTGGTGTGGCAGGCTCAGTGGTGGTGTTGGCAGGCTCCAGTGGTGGTGTTGGCAGGCTCCAGTGGTGGTGTTGGCAGGCTCCAGGGTGGTGGTGTTGGCAGGCTCAGTGGTGGTGTTAGGGGCTCAGTGGTGGTGTTGGCAGGCTCCAGTGGTGGTGTTGGCAGGCTCAATGGTGGTGTTGGCAGGCTCAGTGGTGGTGTTGGCAGGCTCCAGTGGTGGTGTTGGCAGGCTCCAGTGGTGGTGTTGGCAGGCTCCAGTGGTGGTGTTGGCAGGCTCCAGTGGTTGTGTTGGCAGGCTCCAGTGTGGTGGTGTTGGCAGGCTCCAGTGGTGGTGTGGCAGGCTCAGTGGTGGTGTTGGCAGGCTCCAGTGGTGGTGTTGGCAGGCTCAGTGTGGTGGTGTTGGCAGGCTCCAGTGGTGGTGTTGGCAGGCTCCAGTGGGTGGTGTTGGCAGGCTCCAGTGGTGGTGTTGGCAGGCTCCAGTGGGGGTGTTGGCAGGCTCCATGGTGGTGTTGGCAGGTTCAGTGGTGGTGTTGGCAGGTTCCGGTGGTGGTGGCAGGTTCAGTGGTGGTGTTGGCAGGTTCAGTGGTGGTGTTGGCAGGTTCCAGTGGTGGTGGCAGGCTCCAGTGGTGGTGTTGGCAGGTTCCAGTGGTGGTGGTGAGTTCCAGTGGTGGTGGTGGCAGGTTCTGGGAGACATTGGTTGGGTTCCTCATTACCATATTATAATTACTGAGACATATCAGTGATTAATATTAATGTATCTACATCACGGTCACTATAGTCTGCTAATGGTTGTTGTTTATCACACACACACACACACACACACACACACACACACACTCCGTAAAGTGCTACAACTTACTTATGTGTAATATGTATGCAGTGATGTTGTATCGCAACTTTTATATTTCGTCTTGTGGTTGTAAATTTGTGTATTTACTCTACCACCCAACTATCGCCCTGCCACCCGACCGGCCACCCCCGCCCTTCCGCCCATGACTGTGCGCCCCCGCCCTTTCACCCATGACTGGCCGCCCCCGCCTTATCCACGATCTGCCGCCCCCGCCCTTCCACCCCGACGGCCACCCCGCCCTTTCACCGGCTGGCCGCCCACCCTTTCACCCATGACTGGCCGCCCCGCCCTTTCACCCATGACTGGCCGCCCACCTTTTCACCCATGACTGGCCGCCCCTTCACCCAGCCGCCCCCGCCCTTTCAGTGTTGCGGTTTCGTGGAGGTCGTGTCAGAGAGAGAAATATGTGGGGTGCTTTCCTAGATTTGTTCTCGTTTTCCACACCGATCTTGTAAAACACACACACACACACACACACACACACACACACACACACACACACACACACACACACACACCTCTGTGCGTGTGTAGTTTTGTGTATGAGACTAATAAATAGAGAGAAATCCATGAGTAAAAGTGTCTCTCATAGGCATAATACAAGACACTTCAGCTTTAGGCACTGTACTCGACCACCTTCACTTCCCCAACTGTGAAATTAGGTCCACGTTTACAGCTGGATGGCCAGAGGAACTAACCGGTGACCAAGGTGATCGTCTTGTCTACTGGACCACCACCTCAATCCTCATGTTAAAACTGATCAATATTCAGTGGCGTTTGTTCAAGCTGGTGATGACTGACCACTGTGTTGGGCCTCCTCTCTCTCTCTCTCTCTCTCTCTCTCTGATCTCACCTCGCTTATGACGTCACCATCAGCCTCAGACTGAATTTTGCAACGACGGCGTCAGGATACTGCTTGTGTCTCCCCCCCCCCTCTCCTCTTCCCCTCTCCCTCTTCTCTCTTCCTCTTCCCTCTCTCTTACCCTCCTCTTTCTCTCCGCTTCCCCTCTCCTCTCATCTCTTATCTCTCTCTCCTTCCTTCCTCCCTCTCTCTTACCCCGTCTTCTCTCCTCCCAGCTCACCCGTCGTGGGTATGAGAGAGGAAGGGTGATAGGGTGGTTCTTTCGGATGTCTCTCCCACCCGTTCTATCTCTTTTACCCCCGCCCATTCCATCTCTCTGTCCACCCATTCCTCCCATTCCAAACATTCCATTCCATTTGTCACCCGGAGTGGCTTAGGAAGAGGGAGAGTTAGCTCGAGGGATGGGGAGGCTAGTAGAGGGAGAGATTGAGAAAGTGAGGATAAGGGGTGGTACACTGGGGTGATTAAAAACAGGGAGACGTAAGAGAGATGGAGAAAGTGGGGAGAAAGGAAGGGTATTGGGGAGAGGAAGGTGGCCGGAGGTGTGTTGTGACTTAGCCTGAGGACGGGGAGGAAGAGAGAGAGATATATCTATGGCCATTAACTCTGGTTGAAGACGAAGACAAGGGTCGTCTCTCCAAGGATCCGAACACAAGATAAGCATCAAAGTGTCTCTTGGAAGCGTTGCTGAAAACGGGACATCCAATCAGAACAGATCGTCTTGACAAAAACTGAATCTTATTGGCTCTCTGGGTGAGGCTCATTCCTAAAGGAATCCGATTTAGTGTTGTTAGCTTACCTGCCGACTCAACAGCCAATCAGAATACTTGTCGATAATTTTTGACAAATTCAATTCTGTTGGCTGGCCGACTGAGTCTTATGCCCAGGAGGAGTTGATTTATAATTAACTTGAGCAGCCAATCGGAATACATCGCCTTTTGACAGCCATGATTTTATTGGCTGCTAGTGAGAGCATCATTTGACTATTGATGGTTCGTGTATACAGCGGCCGACTGAACAACCAATCAAAATGCAGCTTATTAATAACAGTGGATTTCATTTGTGGAGAACTGCGTGGTGCTGTGACGTAATGTGTTATGATATGCTGTCATGTAAGGTGATGTTGTGTTGTGGTGTACGGTATAGTGTTCCTAG